CCTATTTTTACTTGTTATATTGTTATGGATCGATACATTTTTTTAAAGTATCGACACTTTATAGGTGCTATAACTTCTTCTCTTTTAAATTCCAAAAGTGTCGATACTTATATTAAAGTATCGACACTTTCAACATATCCGGTAGTTATTTACCTGTTTTGTCATTTTGAGACTGGTTTTGTTATATTTTAGGTTGTTATATTGTTATGGATCGATATATTTTTTTAAAGTGTCGACATATTTTAGGCGCTAAAACTTCTTCTCTTTTAAATTCAGAAAGTGTCGATACTTATATTAAATTATCGACACTTTCAATATATCCGTATCATTTTACCGATTTTGTCATTTTTTAGACCTGTTTTGTCCTATTTACCTGTTATATTGTTATGAATCGATACATTTTTTAAAAATATCGACAATTTATAGGCGCTATAACTTCTTCTCTTTTAAATATCAAAAATGTCGATACTTATATTAAAGTATCGACCCTTTCAACATATTTGGTAGTTATTTACCTGTTTTGTCATTTTGAGACCGGTTTTGTCATATTTTAGGCTGTTATATTGTTATGGATCGATACATTTGCGTAAAGTGTCGACACGTTTTAGGCGCTATAACTTATTCTCTTTTAAATTCAGAAAGTGTCGATACTTATATTAAATTATCGACACTTTCAACATATCCGGTAGTGCTTTACCTATTTTGTCATTTTTTAGACCTGTTTTTCCTATGGATCGATACATTTTTCATTTGTATCGACACAAACCGACAAGCTAAGTTTGTCGGTTGCCAAATTATTTAATATTTCTTCATGATTTAGACCTACTACATTATTATTACTCAACATTTCCGGTAGCACTAAACCCACTTTGTTAAATATATTATAATGTATCCGGTAACACCGTATATTAACCCGTCTTTCCTGAGACAATCCCAAAAGATAAGGGAAAGACTGAGATAGAAGCCTGTCAAATCAAGTCATCCCTTTGGTAAATGTGGAAACATTACAAATAGTTGCGAAGGATGTTTTTAGAGTGTAATTTGATAGAAGAAAAATAAAGTAGAGAGAGTACTATCACCACTAGCATGGTCGTCTTGAAAGGAAATATAAGAGGATTTTTTAGGATCCTCGAAATTTTTTTTTCCTATAAATCCTAGGTTGACAACTTTATATGGCTATTCACGCATCCATATTATATTATGGGAAACAATCAAAAGGAACAAAAAGGAATAATCCAAAGGACATTGGGAAATCCTTATCATACGAGGTCTACTACAATCCCAAAGATCTAAGACAATTTTGAAGATAAATCCTTTCACGGGATAAACCACATTATGGAAATTTCTTTTTTTCCCTACAAATCCTAGGTTGACCTCTTTCCATGGCTAATATCCTTGATTGGACTCCTCCTTTGTAGCCATATTTGTGGCTCTTACACATGAAGATCATGAGGAAAGACGGGAATTGACACAATAGTCCAATCCTCCGTCACAATTCGCCCTTTTGGAGACTAAAAGAACCCGACTGTTTTTATACATCTCTTCTAGAAACAAAATAGTTTCCCAAGATGGCTTAAGTCAAGTCGGTGACAAGGAAATTATTAGAAGACGACGCCATTTCTCTCATTAGCATCCTTAATACTTTTGATGAAGATTACATGAAGAAGTGGCAAAAGGACACATCCTTCACTTCATATGTCCTCTCCATTGTATCTTATCAATCGGTCATAGAATTGGCATCTCTTTACCCCCTAGGTCAATTTATATAGCCAAGGTGTTTCTTCCCCTCTCGCCTTACCTTATTGCTTTACAACCAAAAACCTTGAACTACATTCTTGTTTTCTTAACCTCATTGCTCAACAATGACGGAAGAAGTTCTACATCTCATGAACCAACTTTCATTCATCGAAGAGGAAGTTTCTATCTTTAAAACTCCTAAAGTGATCCGTGAGGAAGATCTCGACGTTATGGATAAATGGACGGTTGGGAAGCTCATATCCTTCAAGCTCGTCGAATGAGATTCAATGTTAAAAGATTTTCGCTCGGTCTGGGGTGCGAACAAACTAATGGAAAGATCATGCTTGGGCCCAAACATATTCCTTTTGAAATTTAATACTATTGAAGACAAGCAAGAGGTTATGAAAAAACTCCATGGAGCTTTGATGGAGAGTTGCTCATGGTTTGCGACATTGATCCCACACTGAGTGTTGACGAATTCAATTTCGACTCCTTCCTATTTGGGTTAGAGTCATCGGGCTTCCCCTAGGGCTCATGAACCAAATGTCCAGGGTAAAAATAGGGAGTACTATTGGAAGGTCCATCGCTTAACTTAAGGAATGGTGAATGTCGACTTGGAGAATTCCTTCGCATCAAAATAGAAATCAACATCAAGAAACCTCTACGCAGATGTCTTAATGTAGGTTTGAGAGCGGATAGAAGCATTTGTCAGTGCTTTCTGAAATATGAAAGACTTCATTCTGCCATGATTTTGGTTTTCTTGGGCACGTTATCATGGAATGTCTTACTTTTATTGTCAATAGTTTAAACCTTCTCCAATATGGCGATTGACTTCGGGTCTGCTCAACTCTGTATCATGTTAGCACATAGAGAGTTCGAAGAGAAGGCATATTTTATGTCGAGCAAGAAGACCTTTCGCTTATCGAACCAGACCCATCGCTAGAAAGCTCGTACCGCTCCTTCAAAGTCTATTCCATACTACCAGATGGAGGAACTAACGAATCCCACCCCCGTGTGAACCCAAGGGATTTTAATGTGGAATTACAAGAGACCAAACCGGAGCAAGAGGAAGAACAAGAAGCAGACAATGGCTTTGCAATCCAAACTATCATAATTGAGAAGGAACTAATCGTTTAAATGATTTCATCAAGCAATGGAAAGAGGAAAAGTGGAGGAAAACATAACGACAAAAAGTGAAACAAGAAGCATAATGGTCAAAGTGAACAAACGGTGGCAGCCAATTCCACGACCCTTCGAGGGGAGAAAGAGCCTACATCCAGAAACATCAAGGCACCTTTCGAAGTTGACCAACCAATTGAACCAACGGTGGAAGCTGATGATCATCCCTGTCGATCGCCATGAGTATTGTTTGTTGAAATTATCGTGGACTTGGGAACCCATCGAACAATTTATAAGCTTAAACTTTTATTTTGAAAAAAAATATCCCTTCCTTGTATTTTTTTTGGAAAGTAGACATAGGAAGAACAAAGCTGAGTATGTTCGGACTAGGCTTGGTAAGAAAAACTATTTTGTTGTTGAGAGCTCTGAAGGTTGTATATGGCTCATTTTGTTTTGGAATGAAAATATCAACGTGACCCTTCTTGGCTACTCAACTTTCCACATTGATGCTGAAATAATTTAGAATAATTTTCATTTTTGTTTCACTGGTTTCTATAGTGCTTGTACTAGTTCAAGAAAAATAGAAAATTGGGAATTAATGAAACGGCTCGCTACGACCTCGAACTTATCTTGGATAGTTGGAGGAGATTTCATTGAAATCATCCATCCTAGCGATAAAGAATGAGGTAGAAGAAGGCCAAACGTCGAAACTCAAGCGTTTCAAGATTGCCTTCAAGAGGCTATTCTCTGGGACCTCAAACCTAAAATCGATTGGTTTACTTAGAGCTCCGATCGAAAGATGAATAACCACGTTCGCAAATGAATTGAAAAGTTTGTGGCAACCCCAATTGGATCCAATAATTTACTCACTACTCCACCCTCTCAAAATTCCACCTCGTTCGATCACTCCTTTTCTGTCTTCTTTTTTAGGGGCCGGTCAGAAGTAATTCTCATGTGCCAAGAGAATATTACTTTAAATTTGACCCTTGTTGGGGAAAAGAAGAAAATTGTAAAAATATTGTCAAAAACTCTTGGCCTAACGCAACTGGTTCGACCCTTAACAAGATGAAAGAAACTGGGCTTAATTTGGGTCATTGGTAAAACAAAAGACGACACAAGGCAAAAAAGGAGGAAAATAGTATTAGATCTAAATCCAAAAGATGAAGCTAGAGCCAATCTCAGAAGACTCTTTGGAGCACCTTTGTGCCATTAAAGATGAGCTTAAGCAACTCATTGAAAAAGATGAGACTTACTGGAGACAAAGATCTAGGGTGGCCCGACTCATAGAGGGAGTCATAAATACAACTTTCTTCCATGCTAGAGCGAATGATAGAAAAAAGAAAAATTGGATTGAAAACCTTCAAGATGAGAATGGAAACCAGGTTGACCAAATTGAAGACATCTTTCGAGTTGCTACTGATTTCTTTTCATCTCTTTCGTTCCTCAAATATGGAAACTTCGCTCGGCAGGGCACATGCGTTATCCTTAATAAAGTACGTTTCCATTTTCATGAAAATGAGTTGTGGTTAGGGGTAAAATGCCACTCGAGTCCAGAGCTAGCTGGTTCTCCCTGTAATGCATTGAGGCGCAACAGTTGACTGGACATCTAGGGGTAAAACTCTCTTTCAGTGTGGGCTGCGAGAACGATACCAAATCGAGGCAAACTCGCATTAAATCCTGCAAGTTAGCAACTAATGTGTCACTGAAGCCGATACTCGAGTCTCTGACGAAGTTTCACTTCCGATGAGGTTTTGTTGGCTTTCAAACAAATCTATACCAATAAAGCAATTGGAATTGATGGTCTCTCTAGTTCCTTTTATTGTTCCTTTTAGGCATTGTGGGTAATGACCTTATCCATTTATGCCTCAACCTCCTTAATGGTTCTATTAGCATGAAAAAAGTTAACAAAATTGTCATCGTCCTCATACCCAAAGTCAACAACCCTTAATCCATGAAAAAATTCAATCACATTAGTCTCTGCAACGTCATTTACGAAATTATTGTTAAGGTTATTGTCAACTGCCTGAAACTAATCATGCCTAAATGTATAGCACAAAATCAATATTCCTTTGTCCCAGGTATGAGAATATCTAACAACTTTATAGTTGTGCATGAGCTCTTTCACTATCTAAAAAGTGATAAAAATGGACCTAACAAAGGGTCGCTCTAAAGCTCGATATGGAAAAGGCGTACGACAGGGCGAGTGGAATTTTGTGCTGAAAATTATGAAAAAAATTGGTTTCAATGAAGAATTCATCAAGCTTATCCAGAGGTGCATCAACACTGTTAGATTAGAACCAACTGACAACTTTCAAAAGGCTTCACTCCGGAATAGAGGGCTTCGTCAAGGTGATCCCTTTCCCCTTACTTGTTCTTCTTTTGTGTTCAGAGACTTTTGGCTCTCCTTACTAAAGCTCAACAAGACGAATGCATCAAAGGTGTCAAAGCTAGTGTGCGAGGCCCAATAATCACTCATATTCTTTATGCTGACGATAGTATAATTTTCCTCAAGAACTCCATCCAAGAGGCTCAAAAGAGAAAAGACTTCTTCACACTTACGAACTCTCTTCGAGCCAGAAGATTAACTTTGATAAATATAGAATCTACTTCAACAAGAACACAAACCAGACTAATAGAAGACATCAGGCAAATTTTTAGAGTTAAAGAATCTGAAGGTTCAGGGACTTACTTGGGTCTCCATCTTGTTGTCGGAAAAGGGAAAATTCCAATATTCAACTTCATCAAAGATAAAACAGTAAAGTGCATTAAAGGTTGGTCTAAAAACATCTTCGCTTTCAGAGGAATAGATATTTTTCTGAAGTCAGTGGCGCAAGCTCTCCCTATGTATGTGATATCCTACTATCTGCTCTGGGAAGGTATAATTGAGGACATAACAAGACAAATCCACACTTTCTGGTGGTCTGGCAAGTACGATAAAAGAGGTTGGGCTATGGTTGCTTGGGACAAAGTTTGTAAAGATAAAATATTAGGAATGATTTGATTCAGGGACCTTAAAACTTTTAATTTGGCTCTTCTCAGAAACCAATTATGGAGATTCATTCAGGATTAGAGTTCCATGGCCTTCCAAGTTTTTAAAGCCAAGTACTTCCCTAACTCTGATTTTTTTTCAACACCAAAATAGGGGACAAGACTAACATCTACAAAGTCAAATAGGCTCTTAAATATGGCTTTCTCTGGAGATTCGGCCTGGAAGGAAGAACAAGAATGTTTCTTGATAAATGGGGGGACTCGAACCCAATCGACTAAAAAACCACTTATGGAGACAACAGTGATTCCCCTTTCAAATGCACGAATTTTATGAAACCCGAGTCTGCTAACTCGAATTATATTAAAGTCAGTTAGATCCTTCTCCCGGAATATGCCAATAAAGTGCTATCAACTCTCATTGCACCGAATTATGAAGATAAGATGATATGGTGTCATCATAACATCGGTTGCTACTCTGCCAAATCCATATATATATGGCTTCTTCTAAGAAAGAACCTTCAGGCGGAGCAAGGGAAAATATGGAAATACTTGCTAAACTCTCAATTCTTCCAAAAATTCGCATCTTCGGTTGGAGACCATGTCACAATGCACTGTCAACTGGGGAAAATTAAGCTAATCTAACATTTCGGAGGGAACATGCCCTCTATGTAATGAGGAAATATTATCTCTTATGCATGCTCTTAAGGATTGCGCTAAGACGATGAGAGTTCTTCAAATCTCTGGGCTTAACGAGGATATAATCAACTGGCAAGGAAGCTCAGGCAAAAAGTGGTTAGAATGGATCCTGACTAAAATGGACACTGAAGGGTTTTTCAAACTCCTCATCCTGACTAAAGTGGTTAGAAGTGGGTTCATGACAAGGAGCTACAAGAAGACAAAGATGTGGTGATGGCAGCCTGAAGCCTAAATGCAAAGCTTATATAAGCTAACATTGATGTAAGAACTAACCTCCCAGTGCAAAAATTTCAAAGTCCTCGTAAATGGGAAAATCCAACTGAAAATGCAATTAAAAACAATGTCGATAGAGCTTTCTCACCTACATAAAAAAAAAAAAAAAAAAAAAAAAACTGTAGCAATAGGAATAGTGGCTAGGGACCATTACGGAATGGTTCTTGGGGATTTGTGTAGACAAATTGATCAACCTTTTAAAGCCGAGGTTATTGCATTCGAGGGATTTGCTCTGGATAACGGGAGGCCAAATGCAACCATAGAAGGTGACACTATTAACATAGTGAATAGACTGGTCAATCAGGTTCAAGATGAGTCAACAATCGATTGCTGTTCAATGAAGCCCGTGCCCTTCTTAATGCCAACAAAGACTTGAAATTTTTTCCTTAACAGAGAAGTAAATAGGGTCGCACATACGCTTGTTCAATGGGCTCTGTCAAATCCCAATCTATTTTGATTTTACTATAATGAACCGGATTGTATTAAGTCTGTAATCATTCTTAACGCCATCCATATATAAGATATATTGACTTTCAAAAAACAAAAAATAATGTGCATTGAATGTACGTGTGTTGCCAGGAGTCGGTGCCAACTATTAATATCTTAGTTGTCTTTTTAAAATTAAAATAATATACCATTAGAAATTTGACACGGCCGACGTTCTTGAAATTTGGCTACTTTTTTATATTAATAATAATTTTGAACAAACTATAATTATTTAATATAAAATATAAAAATATTACCAGTATGAATATAAATATATTAAATAGAATATACATTATTGACGTAAATAAATTATATATAAATATAATAATGACGAAAATTATATAAATTATCATCTCTTTCATAACTCCTAGGTTTAGATTCTTAAGATGCAAATTAAAAATGTCATGGGAGAAAATGGTAAAAAAAATATTAGCCCCTATATTATACTTAAATTATAGATTAATTCATATTCTCTAATTTGATAATTTTAAGTCTATATAATATAGTCATCTTATTTATATGTAATTTAAACTAGGCTTAAAATTTGAAATTTACATAAATCAAAGTCACAACTTATGCATAATACAAAGAGTAATAATAAAATTTGACCTGTTTTTTTACTTATCTTATAATGTGTCATATTTCTATATACAAGTTATATTTATTTTCTTTTTGATGTTATTTGGTAGGATGAGTATACAACGCACGTCACATACCACAACATATCACCAAAGCAACATATCGAAACACACCACTAACTAAAAAATTATTATTAAGTAGATATTAAAAAAGTAAATTATATGTTTTGTACTTACACTATCACTTTTATTTCGCTTTAGTACCTAAAGTTTATTTTTTTTCAAAGATGTGGCATGACATGTAATTTTTTTATTTTTAAATTTTCATATCATCTTTCTATTTCTTTATCAATATTTTTAATTAATTTTATTCAACCATTTAAATTGGGACACGCGTCACCAACTATGAGGATAAAATAAAAGAAATTATTCTTGCTCTTAGCATAAAATTAAACTTAGGCCTCTTACATGAAATGCAAGTCACACAACCATTGAATTAAGCTAGTCATTTATGTTAATTTTACCATATTTTATATTTAACTTATATAATAATAGCACCACAAAATTAATATTTTCATTTTATTTGAAAAAAAAAATAAATAATTACTTTTATGTATTAATAAAATTTATATTAAATCATTCTAAAAATATTATTTATAATATTATGAAAATATTGTTTATTTTTTAAAATCATATTATTTATTTGTTTGAAATAATATTATTTTTAACTTATATTTAACCTTAAATAATATTATACGAAATTAAAGTGATAGTTGGATACTAAAAGCATAATTTACCTTAAATTTAAATTATTTAAAATTAAATATATAATTTAAAAGTAATATTATTTCAAATAAATAATTATTGGATTTTAAAAAATAAATAAATATTTTTATAATATTATAAATATACTTTTTAATAATTGTTTCATATAATTTTTTATAAAAATATATAAATTATTTAATTAATTTTTTTGATATAAGTAAGTATTAAGTTTAGTACAATAAAAAATTAGCATTATAGTTGAATGATTAAATTTTCGGTGATTAATTTAAAGTGTTTAATATTTGAATCTTATAATCATTGAAAAATATAGATTTGTGGTGATATCATTATATAAGTTAAATACAAAATATGATGAAATTTATCTAAATAACTAATTTAGCTCAATGGTTTAGTATTTGTTTCTCATGTAAGATACTCAAGATCAATTCATACTCGGAGTCAGAGTGATTTCTATCTTTTTATCCCATAGGTGGTGACATATCACCACCTAATTGGTTGAATTACTTTAATTAAAAATACTAACAAATAAAAAAATCATGTGGTAATTAAAAAAATTGGTATGTCATGCCATATAAGCATTACCATCAATGATTTTAAAAAAATTAAAGTTTAAATACTAAAATTAAATAATATTGATATTTTAAGTACAAAACGTGTAATATATCTTTTTTTAATATTTATTTAATAATAAAATTTTAATCGTGATACATTTTGATATGTCACTTTAATAATATGTTACGGTATGCCATACACGGTAGATTTTTTCTTATTTGGTATGATTAAAAAACGTGGTGATACTATTTTAAATATTTATAGACACATTAAGACAAAAAAAAGTCGGTAGTTAATTTGCCCTAATGTCGAAAAAGAAAGCTTTAATAAGACAAACAAATACGATTATTCGATCTTTAGTCCAATTAATTAATAAAAGTTTCTCCAAATCAATATATTCTCTTATTAAAAAAAAGGAAATTATACCACGTTTGACGAATACCACTAATGATGAATATCATTAATTTAATTTATTAAATTTTAAAATTATAAAATATTCAATGTGTAATCATAAATTAGTTAAAAATATAAACTAAATTATTTAAAATAAAATATTAATTATATTCTTTTTATAATCTTATTTTAAAAATTAATTAGATCAAATATTAGCTCTTAATTAAAAAAACGTAAATTCTTTTTCTTTTTTTGAAGCCGATGTCCTTGCCGCCGCCATTTTTGTATCTTCCGATCAACGGTGACCATGTAAACATGTATAAGCATGGCTTAATAGTTTAAAATTAAATTATAATCAATCAATACAATACACAAATAAAAATTTGTTAAAAATATCAGGTAAACAATGGAAATAGCGACTTCAAAGTAAGAAAAAAGAATTTATGGTTTTTAATTTAAGGGTTAATATTTGATATAATTATTATTTAAAATAAGATTATGAAAACAATACAATTAATATTATATTTTAAATAATTTACATTTAAAATTTTAACTAATTTATAATTATATGTTAAGTAATTTATAATTTTAAAAATTTATAAATTAAATTAATAGTACTCATCGGTACTCGTCGAACGTGACAGACTCATCTTTAAAAATCAAATAATAATTTCACGAATGTTCCAAGCCAAAAATATGGCCGTGGATGCCTATGTTTCAACCATCATCCCAAAAGTTGGAACAATCTTTTCAAAACTTTGAATCATGAAACGTTGCATCAAAAAGATTTAACATTCGAAATAAATATTATTTTCATCGAATAAGATAGGATCATGAAAATAATAAACTATTTCATCGAATATTTAATTTCATTACGTTTTTAAGATATCAATTTTTGTTAAGTTTAAAAATAAATTAATGTATAAAATTATGTACATGTTCAATGCATCAAGCATTAATTTTTATAAATATTTTCTGCTTAAATTTAAAATGTTTATATTTATTATTTTTAAGATTTATTAAACTATATAAAATCGTATGATAAGCCCACTCAACAACCTCAACATGCCTATAATAGTAAATGTCAAAAGCTAGGTAATCGACAAAGCTTTACAAATAATTAATAATGGAAAGATAAATACTGATTTTTCATATATAATTAAGGTGTGTGGTTCCCCATGAATTCATGATTGGAGTTGTGTTGGCCCCTACAAAGATAAGTAAATTTAATTTTAATTGTGACATGTAGTCGATATCATCTAGAATATACATAAACATAAAATTTATATCAAAATCAAAATTTTAAGACGATAAATTTATAAAATTTTAGATAGCGAAAATATATTTTACAATTGTCCCTAATCATCTCTCGATCTATCTTTGATCTTAAAATTTCGTTCTTAATTGTGAAAAAAATCTTAAACCTTGAAACTTAATTAGTATGTTATAAAGTGTTCGATGGACTGCATCTACGATGCGATGATAAAGAGTTTTTAATAATATTTGATATTAAATTCAGTCATACAAATAATCTCCTTGTCTTCTCTATAAATAAATAAATTTCGATGTGCATGATTCATAGGAAACTATTACTCTCTAAATTTGTAATATTATAATTATAATAATATTAAGTTTTTATTAATTCAAATATCATTATTGAAAGCACAAATCAATCGACCTTGATGATAAAACAATATTATTACTGTTTTAGGTTCCGAGTTTAAGAAATAAGAATATCATGAGAATGAGTATTCAATATCAAATAATTAAGAGTTATCTTTGAAAGATATTATCTTATACTTACTCTAAATTAATAAAAAAATATCGTCCTTAAATAAATAATTTTTAAGATTAATATTCGTTTCAATTTATTTCTTAAATTTATATCTTTTTATTCTATATAAGCTTATGACGTTCTGATCTACTTATATTAATTATCAGAATAAATTTTTAGTAAAAAATATTTTTTAAAACACGTTGTAGAATTTAACACATCTTTACTAAAAAATATCCATTCGATAATTAATTTACAATAAGTGATATTTCATAAACAAATTTTGAGGTGATTTTGAATAAAAGGGCTAAATGTCGATTATTATTATTATTATTTAAAGATATTATTTCTAATATTAATTATAAAACTGTT